CAGTTTTTTGACTATACACCTATCTGTAAAAAATTGGAGTATGAATTCCTTACGAATATGTAAGGTGTGTTGTAAAGCATACACAACAATTGTAAATTAAATAGACACTGCCCTCTTAGTCCCCAGGGAGCGTCTTCAACCATGCTTTGAGACTCTACCATGTTAGAGTTCGTACACAAAAAAACAAAAAACAGAGGTTATAAAAGACAAAGGTGGCTAGTGTGGTGGCTCAGGCCTATAATCCCAGCTCTCTGGGAGGCCAAGGCGGCGGATTGCTCAAGGTCAGGAGTTCAAAACCAGCCTGAGCAAGAGTGAGACCTCTCTACTATAAATAGAAAGAAATTAATTGGCCAACTAAAAATATATAGGAAAAAAAATACTTAGCCGGTATGGTGGCACATGCCTGTAGTCCCAGCTACTTGGAGGCTGAGGGAGAAGGATTGCTTGAGCCCAGGAGTTTCAGGTTACTGTGAGCTAGGCTGACGCCACAGCACTCTAGCCCAGGCAACAAACTCTGTCTCAAAAAACAAAACAAAACAAAACATAAAGGTATTTAAAGTAAAGTTGTTAAAAGACAAAGAAATGTGTGACTCAAAGTAGTTTCCCAGCCTTTTCATTCCTTTTGCTCCTTGGGGATTTGTTTGGCGGCTTGCTTCAATGTCATCCTTGTTTTTTCATTGCAGTCTGGCCTTGCTGCTGAGGCAGGTACTGTGTCTCCAGAGGACGACACCTGGAGCCTTTCCCAGGGTCTAAGCCTGACTGTCATGTATTGCTTGCATGCGTTTATTTAGATCCCCATTCCCCTAGGCCACCTAGTCTGCTACTCAAGCCAGCAGTGATCTTTAAGAAAACTTGCCGCTTTTTGGAAATAACTTATATCCTTTTCTCTCAGGAGGATTTGTTCGTTGTTGACCGAGATTATGTGCTGAAGTCCGCAGAGCTGGCAAAAGCTGGAGGGTGTAAACATTTCAACTTGCTGTCCTCTGTAGGAGCTGATAAGTCGAGCAATTTCTTATGCCTACAAATTAAGGTTTGTGCATATTTCTATCTTTCATACACTCTGGAGAACATGGCTAATGGCAGTACTAAACAATACAAAATGCTGTGTAATACAAAGTGACATTAAATGCATTATATTATGGGGCTTTTTTTTTTTTTTTGTTTTGTGTGTGTGTGTGTGTGTGGCTACAGGGACTGTTTTTGCAGGAATGTATTTAGTAAACGGGAATGATTTGAAAGACAATTTCTAGTGTCTTGCCCCCTGTTAACTGTGCAGCAATCAGTGGAATGAGACGTGGCCGCTGTGGCCCTGAATGTCAGCATGGCAACTTCATATGGGAAAATGCAGTGATTCTAAAACTTTTCTATCAGTTTCCCCAATGTCTGAGAAGAAGGAGCTTTTGTTTCTCTGGAGATGTGGAAATATCTTGTGTGAAGCAGTCTGCTAGTTACAAGCTCAACTTTCTTAAGAGCCTTGTGTTTTCTCTGTTAAAAATTTATAGACACTTTGCTATCTTCAGTACTATACATATCCTTGCTTACTTTAATTAAAAAAATTTTATATTCTTACCTTCAAGTTAAATTGACACTGCAGGAAGATAGACTGTGGCTTTTTCTCTATGCCTCCTGGATGCACCCAAGTGCCATAGTTTGGGAAGCTGGGACTTAGAGGTCATTCAGCCGAAGACTTTTTCAGTGTGAAATCCTTTTACAGATGTTCATCCACCTTCTGCTTAAATACCTCCAGCACTGGGGCGTTTACCATCTCATTAGTCAACTTACTCTAGTTTTGGTCAGATTCACTTGCTAAAAAGTTCTCACTTTGAGGTGCAATTTGTTGCTATGTAAATGCTGATTGTTATCAGCTCTGCATTTTAAAAATTTTAAATCAAGTCCAGTCCAGTCCTTTGCATTATAGTCTTTAAGATATTTGGAGATTATAGCTACCTTGATTGTATTTTTTCCCAGACATAACACTTTTAAATCCCGGGACCATTTTTTATTGGTTCCTATTTCTAGACCCTTCTTCACCCTGGTCACTTTG